ATTTTACCCTTCATTCAAATAAAACAAAAGGAGAATTAAAGGAAATAATTGCAACTGTAGTCCAAAAATTTTAAAAAAATTACAAATCAGTCACAATTTTCAAATAACTAGTACCAACGCTTTTTTTCATCTATTTTTTAAGTTTTTTCATTTTCATTGGCTATGATTCAAAAATTGTGAAATGATAAAAGTAAAAGCAATATTCATATCAAACTTTTGTAACTTCAAAGTTATCTTCACTTCGTGATGGAGCCATGGCCTTTTCAATCTGATACTAGTACAAATTCCCAACAAAATTTCCCACTCAATGGCCAGCTATGGTGGCTAGAAGAAACATGAAATCGGTGGTGAAGATAGCTACAACGGCCAAATTAGACACTAACATTTTAAGGACTCGCATTTCGGAATGATTCAACAATGCAACTTTTGAATCAATTTACTTGTGAATTAGATAAAATGAACAAAATTCAGCATTGAAAGCCAGAGAAATACCAGAAAGAGAGAGAAAATCAGATAGGGTTCGCCGATTTGGTGATCTATCCATCTTTCGAATAACCTTTTTTTTTTTGATAAAATATATGTAGATTTGAACTGTGTAAAGTTCACATCCCAAAAACTCCAGTAAATTAATAGTATAAGTTTTCACTCCACATTCAACAAGTCAATATCATTTATTTCCTCAATAAAACCAACTGCACAAGTTTGACGATTCCAACACAGAACCAAACTAGAAAAATCAGAAAATTAAAACAACACCCCAGGCACAATTAGTGCGTTGAGTCTGTGAAGAACCGAATTCAAGCCATTCTAGTGCTTTTTAGTGGGCCCATGTCTCGATGGTGAGATCGAACTTGGCGTTGAGACCTACTCCAAGGATAACGATTGTGAGGATAGAGGAAGCTGGTGACATAGCAGGGCAACTCCCAATCTTCCCACTTTCGAGATTGTCCCCGTGACGGTGGCGTCCGGTTGAATAAGTATCCCTTGGGGCGTTCCTCATGACCCGAACTTGCCCACCAATGAGTCTTTGGATCTAAATTCCACACCCATCCTGGGAAGTGGGAGTTTCCTCGTTAATCATTATATAGGAATTCAAGAAGTTTGAGGAGATATGCTGGGAAATTCATGGTTTTATAAATTGTAACTAATTTGAAAATTTTGGGACTACAGTTGCAATTAATTTTTTATTTTTTATTTTTGTTGTTTGATTTGAATTGATGGTAAAATCATCCAAAATTAATGAAAATGACCTTCTGTGCAAAGAAATATGGAAGGTAGGGGCAAAAATGTCAAAAAATGAAAGGTAAGAACTTTTTCACAATAAACTTAAAAGATAGGGACATTTTGTGTCAATTACCCTTAATAAAAATTAGAAAGTGTGTATACAATTTTATTTGATGATGAAATTTCAATCGAGCATAACAATGTCTTTATTAAAATGAATCTGGTTAGTAGGTAATTTATAGATTATGACTAGCTTCTATGTCAATTTTAAGACGTCACGAAACTCTCACGCAATATAACTTTTCAATATCACACCCCTATAATTTAAATTAATTTAATGGTTTAAATCTATTAACACTGTTAGATTAACTTAAACTAACAATTGAAATTCTATGTGAGATTCATTAGTAGGGGAAAGGTCTACTTTAATGAATGAATTAACCTTAGAAATTTTAACATGTTGTTTTTCAACAAGATAAACGCCTACTGAAAATTTTCCAATATTAATTAAAATTATTCACTTACTTGATGAAACAAGAAGAGGTCAAGTTCCCATGCCCAAAATCCGCCCCTCACCGTTCACCAGTGGAACATGCGTATAATTCAATACGAAGTACTTTACCAAGACTTGACATGCCACGAATCTTCTTGAATGAGAGATGTGCTTTCAGAAACACAGAAAGGGCGAAGGGGGGGACATTTATAGGAAAATGTAGCAATTATATGTTACAGATCTAACAAATCATTGGCAGCTAAATCAAATAAAATTAAAAGTTTTTGAGCATCTGTATTTGGGAAACCCAAAATCAGTTGAAAGCAATGAAAAATGCCAATTCAAAGAAAAAGGAGCTTTTAATACATTACACCCATCTTCTTTGCAAACTCGTCGTCTCCATCATCATCCTCAGGATATTCTTCTTCGGCATCTCCATTATCACCTTCATCTAACTCATAGTATTCCCCATCCATTTGCTCATAATCCTTCTGCTCATTGCCTTCACGCTTTTGGTTTGTATCATCTTCAAATATCGTTACATCTTCAGCTTCTAGCTTACTAGCACCGACTGACCTGGTTTCTTCTGCTCCAGCTTCATTACCCGATGCAGACTGGAAGGCTTCCTTATTATTGCATAGAGGGGAACTCTCATTTTTTAAACCGCTAATCTTTGTTCTGTCATCCTTTCCATTTTTTGGATTATTGTCTTCAGCATTAGATGACAATGTCCTACCGCTTCCAGTTCCAGATATCTCACCTCGCTTCCGCTTTAATATCTCTTCTAGAGACCTGGGCCCTTCAAATGAGAGATCACAACTAGTTTGTTTGTGTCCATCAAGCACCGAGTGTTTTCTCTTCCCAAGAGATTGTTGATAATTTACATGCTGCTCACTACTATCAGTCTTCTTCCTGATTTTCAGCTCTGCAAGAGTTTTGGGACCAGCAAAATCACCGTTATTGTCACCTGTCATATCTCTCGGAACTCTGATCTTCCCTTCATTCCTGAAATCTTGTTCCACTGTTTTTTCTATTCTATCTTCAAGTCTCCCATGGTGAGAGGAGAGATGTATCCCTCCAGGAGACAGTCTACCAAGATCAGTTCCCCTATTTATTTCCCTACCTCGGCACAAGTCTTCTCTCCCATCAATTGGAGTCGAAGATTTTCCAGTAAGTTTTATTCTTCCTCGCAGGCGACTTCCAAGAGAACTTTCATTTTGGGGTACAAGTTCATCTCTACGTAAATGGTAGCTTAGATTCTTAGCATACTTATCCTGGGGAAATTCATCGCTAATGACGGACTTCAGACCATTGGACCTCCTATGTTTTGACAGGTGATGTCTTAGATCTGTTTCATCAACCTGATCAGGGCCATCAAACCTAGCATATCGCCTCCTTTCTAGATAAGCAGACCCTTCTGGCGTACTCTCGCGTGAAACTCTGTGCTGCTCCCAAGCATAATGACCCTGAACGCTATCATATGAATCACGACCACGATGAGTACGCATTCTATCACGGTCACCATCAGCAAATGAACTGTAATCAGCAGAATGGCCATATTCATTCCTCTCTTCGTGATCCCTTGTTATTCTATATTGATCTTCACTAGGATAGTAATCAGAATCTCCAAGCTCATTGTCCACAAGAACATCAAAACCTGGGGAGGGGTCTCTTGAGATTTCTTCTGCATCCTTAGTTTCCATACCACCTCGTTCTTCAAACATGTTAGGCCGCTGCGCACGACTGGAGCCGCTAACTGTGTTTCCATTGTTGGCAGGAGGACCACTTGGTCTGTATCTAGAAAACTCCTTATTGATGCCAGACGTCTGTTGAATCTTTCTGCTCATAGCAAGTTTGTTTCCAGGATGAACAGTTTCTACTTCCAATGTTGATTTTGCCTGTAGAGGCAGCTCAACTGATTTTAATACACTGATATATGGGACCTTCCTCTCTTGTGTGCCATTTTCAAGTTCACCAAGACCATGCTTAAAAGTCACAGGCTCAGCAGAAGCAGTTGTTCCTGGAACCTGCGCTGCTTTGTTACTTGTAGGATTTGGTCCGTGCAAAAAGGGACACCAATCACCTTTTAAACAAAATCCTTTCTGGAAGAATATGCAGGGTGCCACTTGTTTACCAGAAGTATGAGTAACATGTGCAAGAGATGTTGTAGCAACCTGTGATGGAGGTATTGAAGATCCAGCAGAAATGGGCAATTGGTTTCCAAGCAATCCATCAAGTGGCTGGGAACAAAAAATAAAAATTAAATCGTTGTTTGTTAACAACTTATTCAGAATTAAGTATCATCCACGTTTTCTTTAAATTGAGATAGAGTAACTGACATATCGGTTAAAAAGTAAGCCGAATCTATATAGGCACAAGTTCAGTCCATGAATAACTCACCGGATGCCGGAATCCGCACTTCAGATTTAAGCAATTACCATGTAACCAGAAATAACAGTCCCTTGGGTTCATCCGTGCGACGTCACTATGACGATACTCACATTCACTTCCCTGTGGACAAATAATAAATAAAAAATACAGATATTATACATTTACTTAGGAAAAAGGACAGAAAAAGAAATTTGACAGCTATAAGATGATAAGCGATAGCACTAGCTTCTTGCAACTGGAAAATACTAAGTTGACTTGCGAAGCAAATCAAACAAATTGATAACTACTTCAAAACCAAAAACCATTTCTAGTTACTCAAGTAAAGCAATATCAGAGAATGGGAATGAGACAATGCCAGCAAAAGGCATTTATTATTTTCAATAAGCAAGGGATTTTTTTGTCTAAGTGGTGCTTGATTTGCACAGAGGGTTAAATGATTGAGACTGAGATTGGGGTGACAAATCAGTCAATAGCATTTCACAAAATTTGTCTCCTAAGCAAATGATATAAAGGGCAAGAGTTTACTACCAATCATTTTAAAAATGTATCATAAAGGCCATAATACTAACAAGCACAAATCTACATGGTTCTGATTTCCAGAAAGAACATTAAATGCAGGATACACCCGATAAACACATGTTTATAATATAAATGAACGCCTTAAGTATTTTGGACAATATCACCCATCATTTAGATGAAAAGGTGACAAATCTCATGTCGCTTTATCCATTAATTGTGGGCCAATACATGTCTAAACAGATGGATGTTGACGAACTAATCTCTTTAAAATAAATGTTAACTTGACCAGAATATTTGATATAACCAAAAACCACAATAACAAAGAATGTAGCAAATCCAATAAATTCGATAAAAAAACAAAAATACACAAGGGATGAATCATCTGAGCAATCTTTCACCCAATCTTGATCTGTCATTCAGTGCTTTGTAGATTCCGCCACTAAACCAAACTGCACTTCTAAGATTCTCAAGTTGTTCCAAAACCAAGCCAAATTATTACCCTCAAAATGCTTTATAATGTAGAAACCTAATAAACTTTGAACATTATAATTCAATCCATGATGAGAACCTACCCCCCCCCCCCCCCCCCACT